GGAAGGGAAGGGGAGAGAGGGGGCGAAAGAGAGGGAAGAAGGGAGTGAACTAGAGGAGTGGGCCTAAGGGTTCTCCTCCTCCTCCTATTGGCGGGGATTGGCTGTCAGGTCCCTGCCTCGGCCTCCTCCCTCCCTCTCCCGCTAAAGCACCCAGGCTGGCACTCGGAGGCGGCCAGAGGAAGCGGGCATGGGAGACACGCTCCCGAGGCTGCCTCTGCCTCTGCCTCCTCCTCCTCTTCCTCTTGGCTGCCGCTGCACAGAAGACGCAGTAGCAGGGCGGCCCGGTATTATTTGTTCTGCGGCCCGATACCGGGCCACGGACCGGGGGTTGGGGACCACTGCACTAAGCCATCTAACTTGCATTTCTGCTCTCCTTTATGTCTGGAAAAATGCAGCATTTTAAACCATCATTGTTTAACTTTTAGGGCAAAAGTGAATCTTGGTACAGCTGGCAGATTTTTAATTTGCACTTGAAGAGTGTCATACAGTTTTTAAGGAGTTCAGTACCAAGTTTTGTCTTTTATTTCCATGCTGGGGATCAAAGAATTAGACCAGACATGATGGAAGTTCACTGGTGAGAAAACACCTTACTGGACAATGGGTTACAATACTTTAAAAATTTATGTTGTATTAAGTGGGAAACTTTTAGGAATAAAGGAGAGTACTCATACATGTGAAATATTCTGGATGTGGAGCAAAATTTGTCATGGGAGGGCAAGACTCTCTGGCTATGTAGTGTTCCTCCTAGGAGGAATACCTCTTATCTAAAAGTAATCACTTGGACAGTAAGACAACAAGATGTATAGGACCTGTCTAAATGCTAAACCACATATTCCATTCAAGATTATGCATCATTGGTGACCTAGATGTTACTAGAAATCCCAATTCCTTTGTAGGTGTCCTGCCTCAAAGGCAGGATCACTGGAGTAGGGTCATCTTATCTTTCTACCAATGTATTACACAGGATGGACCAACAGGACGTTTTAAAGCCTTGAGACACCTGGAATCAGGAGTGGCATTCCCAATCTTTTTTTATTGCAAACTAGATGAAGTATACTCTGTGCTCTCCAGGTTGTATCTAATACTCCAAAGGTATACAGCTTCCTGTCTTCCTATTCCCTATCCCTTTTGTCTTAACTGGAAGTGAAATAGGCAATTCCCTCACATTTTCCACATACCTTTTCTCACCTCAGAAATCTTAGCAGCTGTGCCTTGGCTCTCTCCTGTTTTTCTGCAGTTTTTCTCTGTCTCAGAAATCCTGACAACAGTACCTCAAAGAGGCTTTTGCCATTTTCTTGCTAACCAGGACTGCTCAAGTCTGTACCTACCAGTAATACCCCTGAAGAGATCCAAGAAATCCCTTGTCCCTACTTTTAACTTTAGGAATGTTACCAGGAGTACGTTGGGCTCTACCTTCTTCCTACCACTTTTTAAACTGCTGGAATTACAGCAACAATATTTTAGCACTTTCCTCTTTCTCAGGAATCTTAGTAGAGGTGCTTGAGGGAGACCTTTCTTGTTTTCTAGCCTTTTAAACATTGTTTATTGATGTTAGTCTCCGTTTTGCTTCTAGGAAATTCCTGTTCAGAATTTCAACCTGAAATTGGCTCCTGGAACTTGGAAAACAGCACAGAAAAACACTGTGAAATTGAGATTTCTGCCATGTTTTTTTAAAAAAAATTTACTTATAGCTAGCCTCCATTCTGCTTCTCACAAGTCCTCTATTTGCCGTTTTTGTCTAAAACTCAGCAGTGCAACTTGGACAACAAATGCAAACAGTCTGGTTTTGTGACATCTAGTGTAACACCCTGATTTAATAATAGACCCAAATGCAAGAACATTTTCTTTTACAGTAACACAGGAAACCTGAAGATATGTATACCCACAATACATTCCCATTCACTTCCCACTAACAAGAAAAGAAAAATCAACCAATAGTGGCAACTGAGTTTTTGTTTTTTTCAGTACTTTGAGTAGAATCCAACAAGTGTTAGGGATGGGTCAACTTGCTTTATGCAATGATTTTGTAGAAGCACTGAAATCTCCTGGTTAAGAAGGACCAAAGGCTGCGTGGATCTAAAGGGTTCCTTCTGGAGGCAGTTTATGAAATACCCTTGTCAAATTATACAGAGGATCCACACATTTGTAGTGTGTCCACAGGAGGGCAACCAAAATGATGAAGGGTCTGGAAGCCATGCCTTATGAGAGACTTAGGGAGCTGGGCATGTTTAGCCTAGAAAAGAGACGGTTAAGAGGTGAAATGATAGCCTTGGATAAGTATTTGAAGGGGTGTCATACTGAGGATGGAGCAAGCTTGTTTTCCGCTGCTCCAGAGAATAGGACACAGAACAATGAATGCAAGCTACAAGAAAAGAGATTCCACCTAAACATTAGGAGGAACGTCCTGACAATAAGCTGTTTGATAGTGGAACACACTCCCTCGGAGTGTGGTGGAGTCTCCTTCTTTGGAGGTCTTTAAACAGAGGCTGGATGGCCATCTGTCAGGGCTTCTTTGATTGTGAGTTCCTGCATGGCAGAGGGGTTGGACTGGATAGCCCTTGTGGTTTCTTCCAACTCTATGACTCTGTGATCTCTAGGAACAGTGCCTCACTTGGTGAAGAAGTGTGCTAGCTGATTATAAAACAAAAAGTGGGTTTGGTAGCTGCTAGTGAAGGTTGGGACAGTCGAAAACGATATTTGGCATCGTGAGGCAGTTTCTTGTCTGAAGAACAATGCTTTTATTGACTATAAGAACATTGAAAAGAGAAAGAGCCTTGAAAGGGAGTTCTGGAGGGTTGACAAGGTGGAGAACATGACACTCATTTAGGTGAGAACAGCCTGAACTAGTACAGCTTAGCCTCAGCTTGTTGTGCAGCCTGGGATTGGAAACTATACTTCTGAGCCATCAAACTCATTTTCTGGTTGTGCTCCAGACTCTTAGCACTGGAAGAATGGAATAACTCTTTCTGGTCAAATGGAAGGTCCAATCATGGAGTTTGTATTGTGGGTTAGACTGGCATGGCATAGCATAGCCAGATTTGCCTACAAAGACCAATGGCATTGGCCATGACTTCTGCACAACAATCTTTGTGCTTCACTGTGGTAATCTATTGAACAGCTAATTTATGTGCTTCAGAATGGAAAACCAAAGCTGCCCTCTTATCATCATCCAGTAGCCAGAGGAACTGCTGGTTAGGCCCCCATACAAGCATGATAATTTGCTTTTCTGAGGGAGAAAGCTGGCATGGAATATATCTTGCAGACCATGTCTTCATGAGGAAGACTGTGGTAGAATTCAAATGATTGGGATCTGCTAGATCAGAGGTTGGGGGGCAGGTTGTCTTGCTGATAGATGGGACTGTACCGGAACTAGTGGAGGAAATAGTGGCAGTCTGAGAGATGGAAGAGAGTGAGGTTTAGAAGTTGCAAACATAGGACATCTCAAGTCCGAGATCTGATTGAGGCAAGAATGATGCTCTGTAGTATGGTGTGGCCAGCAAATATGCTCAGTATCTGTCCCAATAATAGGGTGGGGAGCATGAAAGGTCCCCACAATAATGATGATGTCTTGAATCCCTACAAGAGGATGAAAAGAGAGAATGTTGGTATTGCGATTGGGAATCCTCCCGGGACCAAGACTCTGCAATTGAGATACGGCAGGAGGCCAAGGTTCCCAGTGAGGTTCAATGCATTCCAGCACCTTAGGAACCAATGTTCTT